AAAATCACATGCCAAAACCTCAGGAAGAAAGTAGAGAAGGGATTGTGTTGTAGCCATCCCCCAGGGGGTGATTCCTCACTTTCCCTTCCCACCCACCCTCCCCTAACCCTCCAGATTTTTCCTTATGGCAAAAACCTAAAAAAAAAAAGAAGAAAAAAAGAAAAAGAAAGAAAGGAAGAAAGCAGAATCCAAAAAAATTGGAACTTTAATCCAATGATGGTGCGGGATGATCAGGAGTAGATAAGGCCATCAGGGTGGGACTCCTGTGATAGAATCCTGCTGGCTTTGCAAGCAGAGAGAGGCCAGAGCAGACACCTGCCCTTGCCTCGTTGCCAGGGGATGCCCTGTGCCAGCCAGGACTCTGCCAAGAACTTCCCACCACCAGGAAGGCCCTCCCCAGATACGGCCCCACCCTTCACCTCGGACCTCCAGAACCCGGAGGCCCTGTCCTTTGTCAGTGAGGCCGTGGTGCTGTGAGAGCCACAGGGAGACGCTAGCACACCTTCAGTAAAGTGTCTGCTGAGATGTCTGCCCGTTCTTAATTGGGCCATTGGCTTTGTAGGATGAAGCCATCCAGAGGGTGCCCGTTGAGTCCTTTGTCAGATGGGCCGTGTGGCTCTTTTCTCCTGGGCTCTGGCCCGCCTTTCCTCGCTCACAGTAGAGTCTTTGGGAGAGCAGAGCTGTTGGATCTGGAGGAAGTCCTGTTCATGGGCTTTTGGATGTTAGTGTGCATCTATGTGTTTTCTGCGTGTCTCACAGTTACGAAATCTTTGCACAATTCAAGCCACCAAGTCTCCCTTCTGTGCTTTCTTAAAGAGTGTTAGGGTTGGGGACCAGCAGTTAGCATAATGGCTATGTCACTGGACTCCCACGTAGTCGACCGCAGTTCGAGTCCCAGACCTGTTGGCTTAAAACTCACGCCGGGTGCGTGTGTGAGCGTGCCCAAGATCCCAAGAGGAGAATGGAGGAGAAGGGATTGCGGCGTGGCCATCCCCCCTGGGGGGTGATTTCTCGCTTTCTGTCTCTGTCTCTCTCTCTCTCTCTCTCTGGCGAACGCACACGCCCTATAGAAAAAAAACTCTCAAAAAATAAAGTGTGTTAGGATTGTAGCTCTCGCATTCGGGTCCGTGATCCGTTTTGTGTATCATATGAAGCCAATTCAGAAACCACTTGGCCCCTCCTGGGCCAGAACGGACAGATAGCACGGAGGGATGGAGTCCCTGCCCTCCCTCCCCCAGCACGGCTTCCTGCTCTCTGGGGCTACAGAGGCAGGGGCGCTGCGTGCTGGGCTTCGAGACGCAGATGGAGAAGGCTTCAGGCTGCCAGCAAGTCTCTTACACTCCCCCTCCCCAGGCAGCTCCGTACAGCATGAGGGACCGGCCTCCAGGCTGCCTCCCTTCCCTCACCCAGCCGGTGCCCGCGAGCAGTGCAGCTGAACCTGCACCTAACTGCCAGAGCCTCCCTCCCGCCTCAGTCACCACTGTCCCCTGATGCTCTAGGCCAGCCCGAGCAGCTCCAGGAGGCGGAGTGGTCGCCTGGGGCCAGTGGGCCAGCCTTAGACGGCCCGGTTTCCTGGGTCCATTGCAGACTGGATGTGCCACCAGGAGATGAGAAATAAGAAGCTGACAAGTGGCCAAAGAAAACCCCCCTGGGAACACAAAGGCCCCTTGTCCACACGTCCACACATCAGAAGACTGATGGCCTCAGGCCTGGGCCTTGAGAGGCAAACATCTCTGAACCCTTAGAATAGTGGGAACATCTTAAAAGCTTCCAAAGAGAAAGAACCAGCAAGAGCAGTAACAGGTCAGCGTGGGCCAGCTTCCCCGGAGCCCCTCTGACAGCTCTCCCACACACACGCTGCTCCAGGCAATGGCCACCGTGGGGCTGAGACCCAGCCACGCACCACCCAGCCAGCACAGGCAGAGGGCAGGAGTCCTCACGGGAAGGCTGCAAGGCGGCAGCCCAAGGCAGATGGAGACGGAGGCCTGTCACCCTGCCAGATGTGCAGGCCCTTCTCCAGGGGGTGGTGGGACAGCAGCTGGCCAGGCACTCTGCCAGGGTCTAGTGCGGACTCACGGACATCATGCACTGAGAACAAGCCCAGGGAACAGGACAGTGGAGCAGCCCCTGAGGGCGAATTTTGTGTCACCTCGGCCAAGCTGGAGTATTCAGTGTTTATCAAACGCCAGGCTGGGTGTGCTCATGAAGGTGTTTTTCATGAGAGTAATGTTGAAACAGGAAGAGTTTGGGCAAGTGGGTGCCTGTCCATAATATGGTGGGGCTCGCCCAGTTAGTGGAAGGCCCTAAGAGAAACAGACGGAGGTCACCCAGAAAGGAAACAGTTCCAGTCTAGACAGCCTTTGGGCTCGAACCACAACTCATCCCTGACCTTCTAGCCTGCCCTAGTCTGGACCTGCCAGCCTCCACGCGTACGAGCCAGCTTCTCACTCACACGTGCCTGTTATAGACAGAAATCAATGAAAATTGTACATAACGAAGGTGTTCATGATGCTTTTGAAGTATTATCTAGTAAGATTCCACTTCTGCAAAATCGGATGTGTGGGAGTGAGCCGCGTGTAAGAAAGTGTAGGGTGTGGGGGAGCTAAGTGCATATCACACACGTGTGCAGCATGTGTGCATGTGTGGTCGGGGGTACGTGGTGTGGGAGTGAGCGTGGCGAGGAGTGGGGGTTGTGTGCACACTACAGTCTGAGTGTGTCCCCCCACACACATTGAAAGCCCCCCAAGGTAACAGCATTAGGAGGGACACCTTTGAGAGGGGACTAGGACCTGAGGGCACAGCCGCCCTGGGGAGTAGCAAGAAGGTGCAGAACATGAAGCAGGAAGCCTGCGCTTGGCCTTCCTGGCCCCCAGAACTGCGAGCGGTGACTTCCAGGCCGCGCGCCTGTGGGATTCCTGTTACTGCAGCAGCACTACACTATACGCCCAGGTGCAGATCCCCAAGGGACAGGCCGACGCTCCCAAAGGGACCAGAACAGTGAGTACGAGAGAGAGCAGCAGAGTTGGGTGTCCGGATACATTCCCCCCTCCGTGGGACCCCCCCATGGCCACTGTGGCCCCTTCCTTCAGGTGGAGGAGTAGGCATGGGGAGTGCCCCTGCCTGTCTAACCACTCACCTGCTGCCAAGCACTGGGGCTGCTTCCGCTTTGGGGCTGACATGTGGTCACATGACTTCCTTTCTGCTGGGTAAATCCCTGCATGTGGCCACATGGTCATGTGGGATGCAGTTACCCGCGAGACGCTGCCGAGCTCGCTTCCAAGGTGGCTGCACCGCTTTGCCCTCCCACCAGCACCGTGAGCCTTCCAGCCCGCCACGTCCCGCCTCCCTCCATGTCCTCCACATCCTGGCCATCCTCCACGTCCTCACCAGCACTTGGAGTGGTCTTTAGCTTTCAGCCTTCTAATAGATGTCACGTGCTCCAGAGTTTTAAAAGCTGATCTTTAATCACCACCATTGTGACAAATTAAATTACATAAACTGGCAAATTATATTACAAAGGCAAGGGCCAGCTCACATGCCACGTACGAGCGCATGTGTGCCCCAAATCCTGAGCTGGGAAAAATCCGAGAAGGGACTGAAGCACGGTCACACCTCAAGGGGTGCTTCCCCCTCCCTGTCTCTCTGGGGAGAGTATGCACCCTTTGGCAGACTAATGATGATGATGAAGACAAAGGCGACACTCGGGAGCCAGGATGCACACACCCACGTGCACACGCATAAGCATCGGCGTACCCGCAGGGGAGGAGGGGGACCCCGTCCACGCGTCCTGCACGCAGGTACAGGCGCTTCCATGCCTGTCCGGGAAGCCGATGGCTATGCACTGCGCACGCCGAGTGCACGTGGCTGCTTTCGAGGAAGCAGAGGCTGGTCACGACGTGTCTCTGTGGCATGCAAGACACAGACTGAGGGAGGGAAGCCAAGGCCAGCCCACTGGGAGGCCAGGGAAGCCGGCACACTGGGGAAGGAGGAGCTGGGGTCTCGAGCCTACAGTTGAATCCTTCCTGGCCTGCTGCGTGAGGAGGGCCCCACTCCGCCACCCACCCAGCAGGTTAGCAGCAAGGCCAGTTTTAAGGTGCCACCTGCTGGTCCAGGCTGGCCGGCTCTGGACAGGGAGCAGGCCCCACTGGGGCTCCAGGGGTCTTGGGGTCCTGGCATCCTACCCCTTCAGTTCCTCCCTGCCAGGCCAGCCACCCAGCCTTGTGACACCACCCCAGGTGGGGGCCGTTCTTGAGAAGCCTGGTCTCACCCTGCCCCCCTCACCCAAGGCCTGCCCCAGCCCATTGCTCACAATGGCCTGTGAGGTATGGTAAGAACAGCTCCGACTTGGCCCTGTGACTCCTCAGCCCTCAGGCTAGCCCAGGCCTGGGCAGTGAGCACGGTCAGCCGGCACTGCCACCCCGCACACTGCAGTGGCTCATCATTTGACCTACTTTGGGTTCTCTGGATGGGCCAGGCTGGCGCAAGCCTTGAGGCTCTGCTCATGAGAGTCACTCGGGCGTGGCTACCCCACCTGTGTGTTGACACAGGTCACTCCTTGCACCCCTCCCCATGAGACGGGGTGTGCCATGGGGAGGGGCCCCTGAGGCAGGTCAGCCAGCACCTCAAGCCAGTGGAGGCAGCTGTTGTGAGCTGCCTCCTGGAGCAGGCTCCTCGGACAGCACAAGGGACACGGGATCCAGGACAGGCTCCTTCCACATCTCCCTTTCAGGGCTGCTCCCCCTTATGCACCCCTCCCTCTCCCTCCGGTAAGACCCTCCCATCAGTCGGCACAAGTGTGGACATGCCTGTCTGCGGGCACGGCCCCCTTTTCTCTGCACCCCGCTTCCCCGTTCCCACTTCACAGTGCAGTGGCCTCAGCTGTCTCCCACCTTCCTCCCTGGCCCCATGGCCCAGCAGGTGAGCACCAACGCCACCCCAGCCCCAGCCCCCACGCAGGCCGCACACGGCTGCCCACCCAGGCCAGGGTGGCAAGTCAGCTGGTGAGCAGTTGGCAATGTTTATTGAGAAACAGGGAAGGGTGGGAACCCCAGAGCAGCAGCCCCGCTGAAGTACACGGGCCACCCGAGAACAGCCAGCACGGCCCTGGCCTGGGCCTGCGGTGGGCACTCAGGCCTCAAGGCTCAGGGCGTCGGGCGGCAAGTACATGGCCTGGACCTGTGCCCAGCAGCGGGCCTGCTGGTCGGCCCAGGCGAGGAGCTCGGCGGCGCGGTGCAGGAAAACCAGCAGCAGCGTGTGCACGTCCCCCTCTGCAGAGTGCGCTGCACTCGGCTCGGCCTGGAAGTAGCGGCGGAAGAGGCTGCCCAGGCTGTAGCTCCTGCGGCCCTGGGCACGGGCCGGGGCTGGGGGCACGGTCCAGGCCCCGCAGCGCTGGCAGCGTGTCCAGGCAGACAGTGTCCCGGGGCAGGTGGGCACCCAGGCGCCGCAGCTCAGTGCACAGGAGGGGGAAGTCATAGTCAAAGCCATTGTGGGCCACCAGGCAGATGGGGCGTTCCTGGCGGCTCAGGAAGGCCTGCAGTGTTCGCACCACGGCCTCGTCGAAGCCAGCCTTCCGGCAGCGCACCAGGTTCTCACTGCTCAGGCCGGTGATCTCGCTGGCCTTGGCTGTGAAGGGGCGCTCCGGGCACATGCACAGCGTCAGCTTGTCCAGGACCCGGGGCAGCACCAGGGCGCCCGCCTCGTCACGCTCCGGGTTCTCCAGGGAGGAGCGGTGGACGGCAAAGAGGGCTAGCTCCGCGACCTCGGGCTCCATGCTGGGGAGCCCTGTGGCTTCCAGGTCCAAGAAGACAAAGGTTTCGGCCCGGGGTGCCTCCGACATGGCGATCTCACAGGGACAGCAAAGCCTGAAGCTGCCAGAGCAAGAGCACACCCGGCCCATGTAGGCCTCGCTTCCTGCCATCCCCACGCCACCCTGTGGGACTTGTGGCTCCGGGACATGCAAAGGGGCTTCCAGATCTGGGACCCAGAGGCTGGGGTCTCCCAGGGGCTTTTCACCCCCCCCTCCCGCCCCTCAGTCTCTCTCCAGCAGCCCCACTCCTGCCACCTAGAAAACGGGGGAACCAAGGAGCCCTGGAGGGGAGGACACCAGGCCCCTGTCTACAGGGACAGTCCCCTTGCAGACTGGAGGTAGGCCCAGCTCCTCATTGAGAAGCCTCGACAAATAGGCACTCAGGGGAGCCTGCTTGTGACCCGTGACCCGTGACCCGAGACCGGCCTGCCTGCCTCCAGGCTCCCCCCATGCTGCTTACCTGGGGCAGCGCGTGGGAGCCCTGGAGGGGAGGACACCAGGCCCCTGTCTACAGGGACAGTCCCCTTGCAGACTGGAGGTAGGCCCAGCTCCTCATTGAGAAGCCTCGACAAATAGGCACTCAGGGGAGCCTGCTTGTGACCCGTGACCCGTGACCCGAGACCGGCCTGCCTGCCTCCAGGCTCCCCCCATGCTGCTTACCTGGGGCAGCGCGTGCTGGCCGGCTTCCTGGGCTGCTGGCCACCTGTCTCCACACAGGCTGCTCCAGGCAGCCTTTAATCAGCAGCCACGGCCCGCCCCCGCCCCATTGGGCAAGCAGGAGGCCGCCGCGGGCCCTGTGCGGCCAGCTCGCTGCTCCCCGCCCCCTCGCCAGCTCACAGCCACTGGGGCACACGCCCCGTGTTTGCACAGCCCAACCGACTCTGGGCCGCATGCATGCTGCCGTGACCAAGGCCATGGGCTGCGGAAGCCTGTCCTCACAGGCACGAGAGTGAGTGCGCCCTGCACAGAAGGCAGTGCCTGGTGCCCAGCCCTGCCTCTGGGTCTGATGGGGCTAGACCGCGACAGCAGACCAGGCCCACCGCCTGGCCCCGTGCTGCGATGTGTACATTCTCCAGGCCCTGGCTCCCCCTTGCCAATGGGCTCAAGTGAGCTGCGGAGCATGTAAGAGGCCCCCAGGGCAGCCCCCATACCACCTGGCCACAGCACACATACTTTGCAGGCTCATCTTCGACTAGGGATGGCAGAAGGAGGCCAGACCTGGCCTGCAGGGCCTAGCAATTGGGGTGGGCAGGGCCCTGGACCACAGGAGGAAAGCTCCTTGGATCCCAGGCTCTGGGGCCTTCCTGGGCCAGGAGGCAGGTGGCAGCCCAAAGGCCTCTTTCTGGAGGCGCTGGGTTCATGGCGGGCCAACCTGGAGCATGGCGCCACCGAGATGTTGCCCAGCCCACTGAGTCCCCTGGTCTTCCCACTGCAGTAGCCTGAGGGACACCCCACAAGGGCAAGCGCACCCACAGGTGCCAGAAGCAGGGCAGAGAGGGGAGTGGCAGGCTGCAGGAAGCAGAGGTTCGCCAGTGGCGCCTATCCCGTGCTTGGGGGGAAGGAGGTGGCCGTGACAGGCACACTACTCAGGGAGATACTGGGTCACCCTGGGAAGCCCCGAGAGCAGCTTCCTGGACAACCAGTCAAGCTGCCACCAAGAATTCCCTACCCAGTGCCAAGCATCCTAGGTAAGGAGGAGGAAGCGGGCCTTGCCCACAGGATGCCAAAGGCACGGCAAGGAGGGCTCGGGGGCTGCCAGGAGTCCTGAGTGGCACCCAGAGGCCAGCCAGGAGGAAGCAATGGGGCTGGAGCGAGGATGCGGGCCAGGTCTGCTCGCACAGCTTGGTGTCAGAGGCAGCGCGGACCTCTAGGGCCTGGCATTGCCAAGCTTGTGCACAGTGGCAGGTGTGGAAGGAGGGCTCACCAGGGCCTGGGCTTCCCAGGGTAGGGTGCAAGAGCGATGTGGTGCCACAGGAGCAGACAGCAGGCTGGGGGCACGTTTCGGAACCCAGCTTTCCTTTCCCTCCAATCAGAACACACCCACACCCACCCCAGCCAAAGGACCCAGGCAGATGGACGCCTGGAGCACATGGTGGCGGCCGCGTCTCAGGAGCGCTGTCAGCTAGCCCGCGCCTTTGTGCATGGCAGGGCTGAGGCCCTTATACTTCTGCGCTAGTGCATCCACTCTGGCAGCTGCAGAGAGAAAATACAAGGGACAGTGAGCCTAGACATCCACCTGGAAGAGGTGTAGGTGGGCAATCCTTCCCAACAAAGCCGGGACCTCCTGAGCCAGCTCTCCCACAGCCATACCCCCACACAGGCCCTCGAGGGGCTCAGTGCCCAGGGACCCAGATGCAGCCCCGCCTGGGAGCTGCTCGGGGCACGTCCATAGGGACCAAGCCACACTGACTGCTGCTTGGAGCTCAGGCTCGAGCCAGGGGTCCCTGGCCTGGCTGGTCCCCACTGCCTGCCTGCTGCCCTGGAACAGAGAGGAGAGGGCACGAAGGGAGGAGCCAGGCTGTCTGCATTTTGCTGGTGGGTTCACTTCCTTTTAATTTGTTGGAGAGCACGTGAGCTTGTCAAAGAGAGAGGGAGAAAGTGAGAAATCACCCCCTGGGGGGACGGCCGCGCTACAGTCCCTTCTCCATTCTCCTCATGGGAATTAGGGCATGCACACACATGCACCTGGCATGTTTCCACCAGGCCCGGACTCAAACCATACATTTGGCTGTGTGGGATCCAGCCACCTCCACACCACCAACTGGCCCCACTTTTATTTGGCCAATTTGCCAGAAGGTGAGTGTGCTCACCAGAGACAGAGAGGTTGGCAGAGAGGGAGAACATGCCCCCAACGGGGCACGGTCACATCAGTCCTTTCCCCTCCATGTCTCCATCCCGTCGGGCCTCACAGGCACACGTGCCCAGGCGCCCAGTGCTTTCCAGCTGCCAGGGCTGGGATACAAAGCACACTGTTGGCCATGTGGGATCTGGCTTCCTTAACCTCCGGGCCACGGGGCCAGCTTGATGGTGTGTTCACGGCAACAAAGCCAGTGACCCAGAACAGCCTGAGGCCTCACTGCAGAACACCAGGCTCCGGTGGCCTCCTGCCCAGCCACACCAACCACGGCTTGGAGCCCAGGCTCCGGCCAGGGGGGCGCG